GACGCTCGCCGTCGCTTCGACGCTGATCGGCGCTACATTGACGCTGATCGACACGAGTCGACGCTAAATTGGCACTTTCTCATCGACGACCACACGCTAGCTCATGCTAGTGCACTCTAGCGGCGGAATGGCGAGGACACACGAGGCCCCCATGACTTGCTGCCGAACCCAGGAGTGCCGCTGCGGCAACACCCCGGGCCGAAGAAGGCGGCGTCGTCGGCTCCCACCAGGGCGCAACGCGAAACCACGCAGAAGCCATGAGGCTTGCCACGCGATCGCGAGCTGGCGGTGGTGGGGCAGGGGACGGGGGGGATCCATGGGGGGGGACGGGCATAGGAGGAGGAGGAGGAGGAGGAGGAGGAGGCCTCTGTTTCAGGTTTAGAGGGATGTTGTTAGGGAGTAAGGCCGTAGGATGCGGAGGAGGGGAGGAAGGAGGAGGAGAGGAGGAGGAGAGAGGAGGAGGAGAAGGGGGGATGGAGGAGGAGGAGGAGGACGACGAGGAGGAGGAGGGGGAGGGGGGGGGAGGAGGAGGAGGAGGGCGAGGAGGAGGATGAGGGAGGAGGGAGGAGAAAGGAGGGAGGCGACCATCGACCTGGAATCGGCGATACACTGCGGATAGATCGGCGACAGGTCCCCGATGGCGAAGCCGCAACTTCCTGGGAGCGGGGTGCGCCATATGGGCCCCCTTATCGGCGATGAGTGGACGACTCGAGGCCGATGCATCCCCCCCTGCGCTAATCCCCCCCTAATTATCGTTGCTCATGAGGGGACGGGCACGGAGGCCTCCCTCCCCCTCGTGGTGGTCACGAGGGGGCGCGAGGTGCGAGGCGTTCCAGACAGGGCACCGCCTGCGAGGGCCGCAGGAGGTGGCGCCTCTTCCTCGGCGGGCGGCAGCGGCAGGCCCGCGGAAGCCGAAGCGGAAGCAGAACGAGGGCTGCTCTGCTGGCGGAGGCCGGCGGAAGGAAGAGATGCGCCCCCGAGCACTGTCACTGTCGAGGGCAGGGAGCGAGAGCGGCAGGCGAGGAGGAGGAGGGGGAGGAGGAGGAGGAGGAGGAGGAGGAGGAGGAGGAGGAGGAGGAGGAGGAGGAGGAGGAGGAGATGGCAACACTTTTGAGCATTTTTGGGCTCAGGGTTGCCGGAACCCGCCACGCGTTGACTAGCGTTAGGCCGGGCCTGTCCGCCTACAGGGGGATTTTGGAGCAAAACTCTTGTACTATTCTTTTGGAATGTTCCTCCTGCAGTAGAGGGACAGGCCCGAATTGAGACTAGCGCGCCGTGGTTCGCAACGCAGACGCCCTCCTGCTTGGCGCACGGGGGGGGTATAGCATGTGGCCCGTGCCGCCGTGCTGGGCCTTGCGTTTGACCCGAGCGGGATATGGGCCACGTCCACAGTGCGTTCGTGAAGCGCCGTGATCGGCAGCCCTGGCGCAGGCGGATAACGTGGTCAGCCTCTGCTGTTGGCGCGAGAGAGAGGGAGAGAGACAGAGAGAGGGGAACAAAAAAGAGAGGCCAGATAGAGAGAGGAATGAGGAGGTGCGGAAACATGAAGAAAAGGAGAGGATGGAGGAGGGAGGGAGGCCCGGGCAAGGACGATGACGAGTAGGAGGGCATGAAGAAGGATCACAGCGAGAAGGTACATGGCAAAGTAAGGGCGGATGGGGAGGGGCGAATATCGGAAAAGGACTGAAAGAGGACGGAAGATGGGAACGCAGGACAGAAGAGGGCGGCGGAGGTCGGACAATCGGGGATGAGGAGGAACATGATGGGTGGGATGCGAAATAGGAATAATAGAAAACGGCGACGATACGGAAGTGCGGACGAAGAGCGGGGATGGAGGCAATGGACATGAAGGAGATGATGCTGATGATGATGATGCGGCTGATGATGACGGTGGCGATGATGCTGCTACTGTTAATGATAATGAAGCTGATGATGGTGATGACGATGATGAGGATGATGGTAAAGATGGTGATGATCATGGTGGTGGTGATGACGACTATGCGGGTGATGATGAGGATCAATATAATGATGATATGTTGACAATGATAATGATACGAACGGTGGTGATGATGATAGTGATGATGGTGATGATGCTAATGGTAAGGATTCTGATCATGATAATTATGACGATGACGGCGACGGTGATGATGACTGTACTGATGGTAATAGTGGTTATGATGATGACGATGATGATGATACTGATAACGGTGGTGATGATGATGGTGATGGTGATGGTGATGATGAACATGTAGAGAAGGAGGAGGAGGAGCAGAAGGAGGAGGAGGAGGAGCAGGAGGAGGAGGAAGAAGAAGAAGAGGCGGAATTGTCCCGTAGACCTTGGACGCGGCGGCTCCGCGCTGCCCTGCTTCTTCTGCGGCCGGGGCCCAGGGCGGCGGCAGCGGAGCCAGCCGACAAACGCCTGCCGACCGCTTGACGCGCGCCCATGGTCGGGCGGCGCGCCCGGCGGGGCCGCCCGGCGCGGGCACTTACATGTCCCGCGGGAGGGCCTCCGCGGCAGGCCCACGGCCAGGGGGAGTGGCCGGTGGCGCCCGACGCGCTGCCGCAGGGGGCTCCGCCAGGATGCCGGTCCGCCGCCTAGCGGTGGTGCCTGCGCTGCCAGCCCCACCTGGGCCGCCTCCTCGTTCAGTTCTCGGCCGCTTCCAGGATCTGCTCCAACTCCCCAGGGGTTCCCTCGTCTCGCGGTTCCCTGCCACACGTGCGCGTGTGTGTGTGTGTGTGTGTGTGTTTGTATGTGTGTGTTTGTCTGTCTGTCTTTTTGTCTGTCTGTCTGTCCGTCTGTCTGTCCGTCTGTCTGTCTCTGTCTGTCTGTCTGTCTCTGTCTGTCTGTCTGTCTGCCTGTCTGCCTGTCTGTCTGCCTGCCTGCCTGTCTGCCTGTCTGCCTCTGTCTGTCTGTCTGTGTGTGTGTGTGTGCGTGAGCCTCGCGTGGGCTCGGCGGGCATCGGCCTCTGCGGTCAAGTGGCTACGCTCTGCCTTGGCCGCTGCCGCCGCCGCCGAGCTACACCCGCTGACCACGGTGACCAGGAAGTGCCGCTGTGCAGCCATCAGGGAGGCGACTCAGGCTTTCAGGTGCAAGGGTCTGGCCCTGCGTCTGCTTGCCTGCTGCCTTTTCTCTGGAAGGGGGCAAAGGGTGTCGGGGCCCTTTGCCTGCCTGCTGCTTTGGCGGCCTTGGCTTTGCTGCATCTGCGGGTCTACGTGCAGCCTGGAGCCGCACCGCGCCGACGACGGTGTAAGCGCGGCCGCCTCGCAGCTCACGGCGTGGGGCTCCGCCTTCGCCCGCCGTGCCTGCCGCCGCCCGCGCTCCTCGCACTCTGGCCGCCACTGCCCCCTCGTCTCGGCCCGGCGCCGCCACCGCCCGCCCTGCTCTGAAGGGGCCCTGGGACACACACATAAATAGACACAGATAGCAGGATTCCTCATATTTTCCCATATTCTCTGGGTGACTGTCCCCCCCCCCCCACTTCCCATCTTTCCCTATATATTTTTTCGGGGGGGCCCACGAGTCATTGTGTCTGTGTGTGTTTTTTTCCTCCCGATTCTCGCGCTCTCGAGCCTCTTGCCCCTGAACTGCCCGGTCCGCCTGCCATGGCGCGCAGCGTGGGCTGTGCCGTCTGCCCCCCGCGCCACGGGCGGGGGAGGGGCGGCGCCTGCGGCAGCCCCGCCGGGGGCCCACTGCCGCCACGCGCGCTCCTCCACGATATCTCTCGTGGTCGTTTACGGCGGCAGCTCACGGGAGCCTCTCCTCCTCCTCCTCCTCCACCCTCCTCCTCCTCCTCCTCCTCCTCCTCCTCCTCCTCCTCCTCCTCCTCCTCCTCCACCCTCCTGGGCGATCCCAGGGCTCGGGGAGGGCCCCCGGGGGCCCGAGGGCCACGAAAAGCCCGTGCCAAGTTGCTGGACCTTCCGAATCGACGCTGGCCGGCGCCGATCGACGTGACTGACGCTCGTCGGCGCCAAATCCACGCTACGTCTGCGCTACTCTATCGACTGTCAGACGCCAGCGCACGCTGCTGCCCGGTCTTGCGCGCCCTCCACAGGGCCATGGCCAAGTCCTGAAGCCGCAGGGGGCCACGGTAAAGCACATCGGGCCAAGCCTGGCACAGGCGCCAGAACCCTTGGGCCAGGGATGTTTGAGCCAAACTGGCTACAGAAGGGAGGAGGGAGGAGGCAGTGGGAGGAGGGGGAGGAGAAGGAGGAGGAGGAGGAGGAGAAGCAGGAGGAGGAGGAGGAGGAGGAGGAAGAGGAGAAGGAGCAGGAGGAGGAGGAGAAGGAGTCGGAGGAGGAGAAGGAGTAGCAAGATGAACATGATCAAGAGAATGTTGAGGCGAGGAGGAATGAGTAGTAGGTGAATAGAAGGTTGGAGGAGGACGGATGGATAAAGGAGGACCGAAGGGTTATGTTGCATCTTAGGGTGACCTTGTCTGTCTCAGCGCGTCGTTGTTCGTGTCGAATTCGAATCGAAATCCATGGCGATTCCACGAATCCACATCGAGTCCGCGTCGAACCCACGCCGAATCCAGCTAGAATCCTGTTCACACATACGTCGAACACCAGAAAAGAGGCACCATTTGCAGGACAGATAAGGCCCCCCGATGTTGCAAAGTAAGAGGAGGACGAGGGGAAGGAGGAGGAGGAGGAGGAGGAGGAGGAGGAGGAGGAGGGGAAGGAGGAGGACAAAGGATGGAATGCGAGGGGGAGGAGAATAGAAGAAAGGAGGCAGGCGGCGAAGAGCAGGAAGAGAGACCGAATGGGGAGGGGAACAAAAAGTGACATAAACATACAAAAACTCGAGGTTTCGCGCGATTCTCGGAAAGCACGAAGCGCTGGACTCCCCTGGCGGCGCTCCGGCGCCGCCCCTATGCGCTCCGCGCGCCAGGGAGGGGGGTCCAGCGCGGATCCGAGAAATCCGCGCGGACCTCCGAGTTTTCATGTTTATGTAACTTTTTTGTTCCCCTAGGGAAGAGGAAGAAGAGGAGAGGAGGAGCAGGACCGGGGTGCCGGCCCCCAGCTCCGCGCCGCTCCTGCAGGGGGCGGGGCAGGGGGGCGCCACGCACACCCACACGGCCGACGCCGATCCTCGCCAGGACAGCCCGGGTCCCAAGGCGCTTCTCTTCACCGCCGTCCTCCTCCTCCTCCTCCTCCTCCCACCTCCCCATCCTCCTCCTCCACCACTACCCGTCCCCTCCTCCTCCTCCCCTCTCCTCCTCCCCCTCCTCCTCCCTCAATACACGTCCTCCCCCTCCACCTTCCACCTCCCCTCCTCCTCCTCCTACCCTCACCACAATTACTCAATAAAAACTAACCTCTCCCTCTTCCCCTGATGGCGTCCGGGTGATGGCGCGCATTCTCCGCGACTGTTTTTTAAAACACAGGATGCCCGTGAAATCCCGGGAAACGACTCTCGCTGAGCGCCGGCGCATCGGCCGAAACGCCCCCCGCGCAACTGTTTTTTTTTACACACAGGATTCCCGGGAGTTGGGTTTTCGCCTGCGTTTTTTTCAAAATGCTGCTCTCGCTGAGGCGCCGGCCTCATTTCTGCTCCCGAAATCGTTCCGAATCGTGCTCCCGCTGCAGCGTGGGCCTCATTTTCGGATCGGTGTTTGGCCTCCGTCGTTCAGCATGGCGTTCTCGCGCCAGCGCCCGCCTCTTTCTCGCGCGCCCATCCGCCCGCCACCACCGCGCCGCACCACCACCACCACCACCAACCGACCACCACCCACCACCACCAACACCACTCAACCTACCACCGACCATCACAACCACCACCACCACACAACCAGCACCACCACCAGCACGAGCACGAGCACGAGCACGAGCACGGAGCACCAGAGCAACCGCAGCAACAGCACCAGCACCACACCAGCACCAAGCACCACTCACAAAGCACCACCCACCACACGCACAGCACGCACGCACGCACGCACGCACGTTGCACCACCACCCACTACGCACGCTCGCGCGGAGCCACCAACGGTCGCTACGACACCGTCCGCGGATAGAGAAAATCAGCGCCATGGTAGAAGGATGAGGGAGGGGGTAAGGGGACGTCAGATATGACCGCGAGCGCACCTAGCTTGTCCTCCTCCCCCTCCTCCTCCTCCTCCTCCTCCTCCTCCTCCGCTTCTTTCGCGCTGGGCGGACATTAAGGCCAAGCTTGTTGCGTTCCTCTTCCTCCTCCTCCTCCTCCTCCTCCTCCTCCTCCACATCCTCGTCCTCCTCTTTTTTTATTATCTCTCTCTCTCACTCTCTCTCTCTGTCCCAGGCTACAGCGGCGCGGCCCCCGAGACGGGCCCCCGGAGGCTCGCAAACCGCGGAGACGCGGCCTCTGCCGAGCTCCCCAGCCCGACACCGTGAGAGATCGCGACGCCGCGAAGGCTCCTCGACGGGTGCCTCCGCGGGGAGGCTCCTCGAGCCGGGCCGGTCCGCGAGGGCAGCTCCCGACATCGTGAGAGATCGCGGCGTCGCGAAGGCTCCTCGAGCCGGGTCGATCCGCGAGGGGGTCGGGGCCCGAGACACAGCCAAGCCGCCTGCTGTGACCACTCGCAGCAGTGGGGTGGTGCGAAGCGGCGAAGGTTAGGTCAGGCGTGTCCCCCTACAGGCGGATTTTGGACGAAAGATAGAAAATATGCAACAAATACTCAAACATATTCCAAAATGGTAAAAAAAAAAAAAACGCACCCAGCCTATTTTGGGACTATTTCTGAATTTTCCTCCTGTAGAGGGAAATGCCCGACTGAAGGCGAAGGGGCGATGGGGGCCTTCTGAGACGGCAGGGCGACGAGGGCGCGCTGCTCGCCCTGCCAGCGCCAGCGTGAGAAGGCTTCCGAGCCAGGCTCGGCGGACCGCCGAGGCAGCTCCTCCTCCCGCCGGCCCTACGTGTTGTGTGTTGTCATGTGTTGCTTGGCCTTTGATCTCTCCAGTCCTGTTTCCTGCCTCCTGTTGACTGTCTGCGAAGGGGCCCCGCCGCGCCACCAGGCAGCCAACGGGAGGGGGAGTCTCACATCCAGGCTGCTCCGGGCCACCCCAGGATTCTCGTGGTGATGCCACCGCGCGGCCAGAACGGCCCGAGAGGCCTCCAAGATTGCCCGACGAGGCTCCGAAGAGAGCCTCAGGATGCCAAGACGGCCCAAGATGTCCCACGATGGCCCCAAGACGGCCCAAGATGCTGTCAAGACGGCCCAAGAGGCCTCCAAGAGGCCTCCCAAATCCTCCCAAGAGGGCCCCACGATGCAAAAATCAATGATTTCCCTGACGTGTTCGAATTTGTTTGGCCTTTTCGCCTTTTCGGCATGCCGACGCTCCGAGACGGACCAAGAGGTTCCCAAGATCGCCCCACGCCTGCCCTAGAAGCCCCCCTGACGGCCCAAGAGGCCCCCAAGACCCCAAGACGGCCGAAGAGGGCCCCAAGGCGGTCCAAGAGGCGCCCCAGACGGCCAAAGGGCCCTGAGACGGTCCCAAGGGAGGCCGCAGATGGAGTCCACGAACCGAAAACTCGACCTTTCCGCCCCGAGAGGGCCCCCTGAGGCCCCAGGAAGGTTCCCAGAGGCCCCAAGAGTCTCCCAAGAGGCCCCAAGGAGACCCTCAAGAGGCCCCAAGGTATCAGGCCCCAAGAGGCCCCAGAGAGACCCCCAAGAGGCCCAAAGAAGACACCCGCGCAGCCGCCCGTACTAGTAATAAGGGGGCTGGCTGCGGAGGGCGAAGCCTTTAATATAATGATACGAACGATAAAGAAATATGGTATTAATATTACGAATCATACTACAACTCGTAATAACACGAATGCGCATAGTAATGTTAGTAATAATACTGGCACTACATGGCACTACTCATACCGACACAAATCATACTACAAGTAATACCAATACTAGTGCTACGACGAATACTATTACTATTACGACTGATGGTACTACAAACACCAACATCAAGAACACCACATACTAATGGCACATATGGGAATGGTAAACACGACTACGAATGTAGTACTACACATTGCGATGATCATACGAATAATACTCAGCTCAATGCTAAAACTACACTCGGTATTGCACATATGAAGGATACAACACAACAGTAATAACAACAACCACACTGATCATAATGCTACTGTCAATGATAAGGATGACACGTAATACGAATAATGATAATAATGGTACTACTGATGTTTTTACCATGGCGACGTACCCACCCCCTGCGCAATGCGGGGCATGAGTAGCTTGGGAGACGTTATACGGAGGTGATGACGTGGCATGGGCGCATATACTTCTGCGAGCGGCATCCGTGAGGCTCGCGGCCCCCCAAGGATTGCGAGGTCCCGCTCAGATCTGCGTGGTGCCTCACTCCGCTGGACCCACCAGCAGCCCTCGAAAATGGTGGCAATTTCGCAGATCGCTACGCTGCCCCCCCCAAGCAACCCTCGAAAGTGACGACCGTTTCGCAGATCGCAACCCTCTAAGGACGGCGAGGTCCCGCTCAGATCTGCGTGGTGCCTCCTCTTAGGACGGCGAGGTCCAGCTCAGATCTGCGCGGTGCCTCACCCCGCTGGACCCACCAGCAGCCCTCGACAATGGCGACGGCTTCGCAGATCGCAACCCCCCAGGACGGCGAGGTCTCGCTCCGATCTGCGCGGTGCCTCACTCAGCTGGGCCCACCAGCAACCCTCGACAGTGGCGACGGCTTCGCCGATCGCAGCCCCCAGCGACGGCGAGGTCCCGCTCAGATCTGCGCGGTGCCTCACTCCGCTGGACCCACCAGCAGCCCTCGAATGTGGCGACCGTTTCGCAGATCGCAGCCCCCCAAAGACGGAGAGGTCTCGCTCCGATCTGCGCGGTGCCTCACTCAGCTGGGCCCACCAGCAGCCCTCGAAAGTGGCGACCGTTTCGCCGATCGCAGCCCCCCAGCGACGGCGAAGAGAGGGCAGGAGGCGGGAGGAGGCGGGAGGAAGAGACGCAACCGCGGTGCTACATTCAAAACGAATACCCAAACAAGGAGGGTTGGGAACAAGAAGAGAAGAAGAAGACAGGGCCAGGCAGGGTGCGCCCCCCCCCCGACCCCATCCGAGAAGCACTGCGCCTTCCAAACCGAACCCTGCCCCTCCCGCCGTGCCCCCTCCCCACAGTCAAAGCTGATAGGAGGAGAAGGAAGAGGATGAGGAGGGGGAGGAGGAGGAGGAGGAAGATGATAGAGGAGGAAGAGATGCGGGGGCCTTGGAAGGCCATGCCAGCACTTTTGGAGCTGGGCGCGGCCATCGACAGTGGCACAGGATGGGAGGAAAGGAAGGGATGCAAGGGACACCTTGGAAAGCCGATCCTTACTATCACTAGGTCAGGCGTGTCCTCCCACAGACCCACAGACGGATTTTAGACGAACAATGCAAAACATTCAAGCAATATATCCAATACACAAAAATATGCAAAACGACTTAACCATAATCAACATATCGTCCCCATACTATTTTTGGAGGAGGAGGAGGGAGGGAGGGGTCGGTGGAGCCGCGCCGATGTCTCTCGGCCACGCGCAGAGGGGAGCAGGTGAAGGGGGGCAAGTTCGATGATCCGCAGATCACGGGTGAATCCAAGCTGCTGCAGCCCAGCCACCTCGAAACCGACGACGTGGACCCGCGGCGAGGATGCGAAGGGGGGTCAAGAAGCGGACGATACGATCAGACCGTGGAGTCCCTCGGGAGTGACGACGACGAGCCAGAGAAGTGATTCGACAGGGCTCAAAACAGCGACGAGGCCATGCCGGATCGCAGAAAAATCCGACGACGGGGATTATTTTACAACGAAGAGGAATGGGGTCGGGAAGTCTGACGACGGCGCGGCCGTCCGACCCGTGATGTCCCCCTCTGCCGAAAAAGTGAACCGAAAACGGCACGGCCAGAAACCCCCCAAGTCGCTCCTCCTCCTCCTCCTCCTCCTCCTCCTCCTCCTCCTCCTCTTTCCTCCTCCTCCTCTGCTCCTCCTCCTCCTCCTCCTCCTCCCGCTCCTCCTCCTCCTCCTCCTCCTCCTCCTCCTCCTCCTCCTCCTCCTCCTCGCGCAGATCTCGCCGCCCCAGTCCTGGCCCCTCCGCCGGCCCAGCCCCTCCTGGGTCGCCCAGGTCGACCGCGGGGGCCGCGTGTTCGTGATATCCGCAGAACGTGCGCTGGCGCCCACCTGTGCTTGTGCGAACTGAGGCCCCTCGACACGGCGCACGCGGTGCAACGAGCGCCGGCACAAGACGCACGCTGCTGGTGGAGCTGAACGGGGGAAACGCACACACAAACACACAGAACACACACACACAAAGAACACACAAAAACACAAAGAACACACATACACACAGGTAACACACACACACGCACACACACTTTCCGTCGGCGGCGAGGCAGAGTTGGCTGCACCGGCGAGGGAGCTCGTCGGGGGCACCGAGCAGCCACCTGGCCAGCGTGCAAGGGAGGGAAAAGAACGGGAGGCGGGCGGCCGCGGGGGGGGGAAGAAGAAGAGGCCACTCCGGGGCGGCCGAGTCTGCACCCGAGAAGGCTGGCGCGGCCACGCACGCACAGCGGGCCGACACTCTTGTACGAGACCGCCGTGGCATCACAGCCGCAATTCGGCCCCTGACTTTCGTCCTGGGCTCGATTTCGTGAAGCGATGCATTTCGGGGTCCTGACGTGGGAAAAAACACCACTTCACCAATCTGGGGCCCCTGGGGCCTCCGTGGGCCCTGGGGCCCAAAATCAGTGAAGCGATGGTTCTCGGGCCTCGGATTTTGTCGGCAACGCTGGTGGTCGCAAGCACGTCTGCAGAGCCGGCGGGCTGCGCTGGGCACTGGGCACACCAGGGCAAGCGAAGAAGAAGAGGGCGGCCGCGCAGGTGGGGAAACCAACAGGTACGGATATCGCTGCTCCCTGGACCTCTCCCGGGGTGCGGTCTGACCAGGAGTTCGAGGCGAATCCAGCGGTGGCGACGAGGGCCTCCCAGGAGGCCCCAAAAGAGCAGGACGAGGCGAGGGTAGCTGTATAGGTACCTCTTCCTTCTCTCAGGAGGAGGGTAAAGAGGCCAGAACCACTGTGAGAGCCGGCGGCGTTGGAACACAGTGCTACTACACGCCCTGAACACCATCGACGCACCCCCTGAACGCGCACGGCAGGCTCGTGCCGTGTCGACCTCGGCGTTAGTTCCTGACCCCGCGCTGGACTGTTCGACCTTGAACGATCGTCTCCTCTTCCGAAGCGTTCAAGTCGTTCCACAGCGAACAATTCGGGGTCGCCCGCGGCGTTCAAAGGTCGAGCGCGGCTGGCGGGGTCGCCGAGCGTCGTCGTCGTCGTCGCCATTCAGGGTCGGCGGCACCGGCCGTAAGGCCTTCGCAATCGTTCCACAGCGAACAATTCGGGCCGCCCGCGGCGTTCCAAGGTCGAGCGCGGCTGGCGGGGTCGCCGAGCGGTCGGCACTGCGCGAGCCCGCCGCACCCGGGCTTGGAGCAAAGGGCTGGCACACGTCCGGAGCACGAGATGGTGCTGATGACGTTGATGATGATGGCGGAGATGATGATTATGATGATGATGCTGCTGATGATGCTGCTGCTGCTGATGTTGATGATAATGATGATGATGCCGATGATGATGATGATGATGCTGATGATGTTGATGATGATGATGTTGATGATGATGACATTGATGATGCCGATGCTGATTATGATGATGATGCTGCTGATGATAATGCTGCTGCTGCTGACGATGTTGATGATGATGCCGATGATGATGTTGATGGTGATGCTGATGCTGCTGATGATGAGGTTGATGATGATGATGTTGATGATGATGATGCCGATGATGATGTTGATGATGCTGACGCTGCTGCTCATGATGAGATTGATGATGATGATGTTGATGATGCCGATGCTGATGATGATGATGTTGATGATGAGGATGATGATATTGATGACGTCCTGAACACCGTCGACGCACCCCTGAACGCGCACCCGAGCCTCTTGAGCAGGGACCGGCCGTCCCGGCATTCCTACAGTTCTAGCACGAACTGTTCTCAGAACCCCAGAAATGTTCTAAGAACCAAAACAGTGTTCTCAGAACATCAACCCGATGTGAGAAAACAGGACAGACTCCGCCAGAAATGTTCTGAGAACATCTCGTGGAACCACAAAGGCTTCTTAGAGCATTGCTTGGTGGGGCTCGGCGAAAACGGTCAGTTCCTTAATCGACGTGTCAAGGTAGGAGGTCTGTCCACCTCCGAAGGGCTATAGGCGAGCCGGGACGCTTCGCCACTGCTCGATCCGAACTCCCCGCGACGCCCCGATCCCGGGGGGCCTGCCGCCGCCCTGCAGCGCCGTCGGGTCCGGCGCGCCGCCCTGCGGGGCGGAGGCCTCGGAGAAGGCCAATCGGCATCGATTATTTTTTGGTGTGCATGTATGTGTAAATGTATATAGTGATGCATACATATATATAGGCATATGTGTACGTATATATATATATAGATATACATATATATATAGATGTATGTATGTATGCATGTATGCATGCACGTATGTATGTATGTATGTATGCATGCATGCATGTATGTATGTATGTATGTATATATGTAGGCATTCATGTATGTATGCATGTATGTGTGTATGTATGTATGTATGTTTGTATGTAGGCAGGTCAGTATGTGTGTAGGCATGTATGTGTGTATGTATGTATGCATGTATGTGTGTATGTATGTATGTATGTATGTATGTGTGTATGTATGTATGTGTGTATGTATGTATGTATGTATGTATGTATGTATGTATGTATATATGTATGACGACAAGCATGAATGCATGTGTACGCATGCATGTATGTATGTAGGCATGTGTGTATGTATGTGTGTATATATGTATGTATTCATGTATGTATGCATGTATGTGTGTGTATGCATGTATGTGTGTATGTATGTATGTATATATATATATATGTATGTGTGTATGTGTATATGCATGCATGTAGGTGTATGTAGGTGTATGCATGTATGGATGCATGTATGTATGTGTATGCATGTATGTATGTATGTATAGACGTATAGATGTATGTATGTATGTATAGATGTATGTATGTATGCAGGCATGTATGTATGTGTGTATGTGTGTATGTATGGATGTACGTATGTACATATATGTATGTGTGTATGTATGTATGTCTGTATATATGTATGTGTGTACGTATGTATGTATGTATGTATGTATGTATGTATGTGTGTATGTATGTATGTGTGTATGTATGTATGTGTGTGTATGTATGTAGGTATGTATGTATGCATGTGTGTATGTATGTGTGTATGTATGTGTATATGTATACTCCGAAATTCTTAATCAGCGTCGGGGGGGGGCGTCACCCCCGCCGACAGCCCCACATCGACCCCCGTCGCGGGCAGCCACCGCGCGCCGAAGGCGCCCCGACCCCCGTCGCGGCTGCGATAAGGCGAGGTTGACCCCCGTCGGGGGGGTACCCCCCCCGCTTGTTAAGAAAACCATTATATATAAACTATGTTTAAACACATTAGAACATCTGCATCGCTTCTGGAGATCGGATCGACTCGGAGACGCGCGTCGCCTCATGCCCGCACGTGCACGGACCCGGAATCGGACTGGACCGGCTGCGCCTGGATGTCGGGTCGGATCGATCGGATGAAGGCCGGGACCTCCGACGGCGTGACTGCTTCGAGCTGCGCCCCAGGGGTCTCGACTGCTTCCCTCTGGGGGCAGGCTTTCGCACCAGACCCGCTCCTAAGTCTCCTTCGGGGGCGCGCAAACATTGATTCGCGATCCATGGATTTGGCGCGCGGTCGCCAAATCCATGGATGGGGGGAGGTGCCCTCCTCAAAATATCTCAAAATGCGGCCGGTGCCTTGGCCGGCGGCGGAAATCCGCGATTTCCCATGGAAGCGGGACCCGTCGCTACTCCACGCCCCCTTGATCCATGCTTGCGATCGCCTAACTCCTGCGGCCCGTTAGTAGCTGGCCCCAGAAGCCGACATCGAGGGAAATCGCCGGGATTGGAAACCTCGTGTCGTGGGGGACCTGGGAATGTAGGTGGCGACATTCGAACCCCACCCCCGCCGCCCATCGAGTTGCCTGAAGCGTTGGTCGGCGAAGGCAGGGTTCGGATATCCCAAACCCCCGGTGTCAGATGCTTTCCTTACATCGGCCCCCGCGGGTCTCGTCCTACTCCCTGGGGCCGGTCCTTCTCCTGAGAAATTCTTTGAAGCTCTCGAGGCCTGGCAAGGGCCCCCAGAGATTGAACACAGTGAAAAACCTCCCGTCGAGATTTTGCCAAGGGAGGGACCTGTCTCCGCCTCGGCAGCCAGCCGCCCTGCCGGGAAATTTCACACTCGGTTCCGCTCCAGACTGGCCACGAGGCTGCTCCTCCTCCTCCTCCTCCTCCTCCTACGAGGCTGCTCTGGGGCGGTTTCTCCTTGACCCGCTGCTGCTTTGCTCGACCTTCGGCCGAGGGGCGTCTGAGCCTCTCGGCGGCGCCGCCGCACGACGGCCCCGTCGGGCGACGACGGCCGGCTTCCCGCGACCACGCGGGGGCGGGCTCGGGAGCCAGGTGGGAACCCTACCCCTACCCCCCCACGATTTCTGAGGGGAAGGATGGGGTTTATTTTGTTCGGGAGCTCCCGAGCGAAGTGAACCCCACCCTCCCCCTCAGAAATCGTAGGGGGGTAGGGGTAGGGTTCGCATGTGGCCCCCTGCAGGCTGTTCCGTGGCTGTCCGCGCGTCGAGCAGAAGCCTTCCAAAAAGCGACGGCTGTAGTGACCCCCTCTGCAGTCAGCCCGTACAGGAAGGACGCACGAGGGGGATGCGAGGGCCTCTGGGAAAGCCGTGTCCACGCTCTGCGAGCGGAGCGCGGCCAGCGAAGGCGGCCAGAGGATGGGCCGAAGAGGAAGGACGCAAGGAAAGCTTTGGGAACTTGCTCGTGCGATGCTGCTGGGGCGCGCGGCGCACCCCTCCCACCCACCCTGTCTGTGTGATCTGGGCACGCGGCAATCAACAATGATTCACACAGGACAGGCCTGCAACGAAAGAAAAGAGAGCACACCTGCTGCAAAAGGACGGGGCGATGTGCGCAAAAATGGCAGCGGAAGGGCACGCGTGCTCTTATCCACACCGTACTCAGCCATCTGCGAGCGTAACGCTGTCATCCTTACTAATCGCGGAAAGTCTTTAGAACTCCCCATCAACAGTGGAAGCGACTTGTCGTTTCGACGTCCTTATTGACGGACTGCGTTCCCACCAATATTGCAAAATAGTGACCTCTCCGCGGCACCCGCTGCACAACAACGACGACGACGAGATGAAAGAAGATCTTGTGAGCAACGCCTTCGGCGAAGCATGCAAACGTGCTCAATATTTTTCTGCCGTGCAGGGCAGCCCAGGGAGCACTATTCCCTGGGCGATAAAAAATACATTACCCAGCCCTCCCAAAGAGGGAAAACCATGTCCGCCGCGACGACGACGACGCTCACGACTACGGATAAAATTGCGACCACGATGACGACTACAACCACGACGACGATTACGACTACAAGGAATATTACGAACACGACTACACTCACGATTACGTGCAAAATTACTCGCACGACTACAACCGCAACAACTGGCTTCTAGTGCAATCCTCATGAGAAGATGCTCACGAGTCCTCTCACGTGTAGGGTAGCCCACAATGAATTCCCCCTTTGAATAAGAGACCGCCCAACAATGATAAGAACGACGACTACGATACCGACCAAGAGGAAAAGCAGAAGAACTAGTAGTAGTAGTAGCAGCAGCAGCAGCAGCAGCAGTAGTAGTAGTAGTAGTAGTAGTAGTAGTAGTAGTAGTAGTAGTAGTAGTAGTAGTAGTAGTAGTAGTAGTAGTAGTAGTAGTAGTAGTAGTAGTAGTAGTAGTAGTAGTAGTAGTAGTAGTAGTAGTAGTAGTAGTAGTAGTAGTAGTAGTAGTAGTAGTAGTAGTAGTAGTAGTAGTAGTAGTAGTAGTAGTAGTAGTAGTAGTAGTAGTAGTAGTAAGTAGTAGTAAGTAGTAGTAACTAGTAGCAAGTAGTAGTAAGTAGTAGTAGTAGTAGTAGTAGTAGTAGTAGTAGTAGTAGTAGTAGTAGTAGTAGTAGTAGTAGTAGTAGTAGTAGTAGTAGTAGTAGTAGTAGTAGTAGTAGTAGTAAAAAAAAAAAAAAAAAAGAAAAAAAAAAGCACAAAAAAAAAAAAAACAATATAAAAAAAAAAAAAGAAAAAAAAAAAGAAATAAAACAAAGACAAAATTGAACTAGTGTAGTAGTAGCAGCAGCCGTAGAGTAGTTAGTAGTAGTAGTATGTCGCAGAAGGATACGTAGTAGTAGTAGTAGTCGTCGTAGTAGTAGTAGTAGTAGTAGTCGTAGTAGTAGTAGTAGTAGTAGTAGTAGTAGTAGTAGTAGTAGTAGTAGTAGTAGTATTAGTAGTAGTAGTAGTAGTCGTAAGTAGTAGTAGTAGTAGTAGTAGTAGTAGTAGTAGTAGTAGTAGTAGTAGTAATAGGAGTAGTAGTAGTAGTAGTAGTAGTAGTAGTAGTATAAATAGTGAACGTAGCAGTAGAAGTATAAAACACCTATAAAAATTAAACGTGGTCGCAATAGTAAAAATTATAATCGTCGTAGCAGCCGTAGTAATAATAGTAGTAGTAGAAGTAGTAGTCGTAGTAGTAGTAGTAGTAGTAGTAGTAGTAGTAGTAGTAGTAGCAGTCGTAATAGTAGTCGCAGTCGTAGTCGTAGTCGTGGTGGTAGTAGTAGTAGTAGTAGTATTAAAAAAATAAGAGAATGCATAGTAATCCGTAGAAGTATCCGTAGTAGTAGTAGTAGTAATAGATATTAGAAGAAGTAGTACAAGAAGTAGTAGTAGATGTATTGTAGTGGACGTAGTAGTAAGTAAAGTATTATAGTATGTAGTATAAGTAGAAATTAGTATATTAGTAAGTCGTAGTAAGTAAGTAGGTAGTATTGGTGTAGTAATAGTTAGTAGTCGTCGTCGTATAGCTTGGAAGTAGTATAAGTAAAGTCGTCGTCGAAGTAGTAATATTAGCTGTAAGTGGTAGTAAGTAATAGTATAGTATAGTAGTAGTACCAGTTTTTATTTTTTAGTAGTAATCGAAGTAAAACAATGGTAATTGGCAGCCAACATTAGTCGTAGTAGCAAGTCCGCCGGAAACATGGTTACATTGTAATTAGTATAGTAAAAGTAGTAAGAAGTAGTAGTAGTAGTAGTAGTAAGTAGTATAAGTAGTTAAGTAGTAGGTAATAGTAGTAGTAGTAGTAGTGGTACTAGTAGCAGTAGTAGCAGTAGTAGTAGTACTAGTCGTAGTAGTAGTAGTAGTAGTAGTAGTAG